ATATTTAGGTATATATATATATATGTCATAATTTATATAATGGCCAAGATATAGAATTTATTTTCACCATAAAAAGTATGTTTAAATGTTAATACAAATTAACCCATCTATAAATCTGTACAAAATAAACGGGGGAGCTAGCGCGCGCGGGCGAATGCTACGGCACGCCGCCGCGTGCGCGCTCACGAGGGTGGAACGGGTTATTTTTCGGGGTATACATGTACAATGGCTGCGCCCTTACATTCGACCACGACGGATACGACATATATATATATAACATATAGTAGCGAAATGATGGTATTCAAGAACCAGAAAAGGAACCTCTCCCTTTAATTATGGATTAAAAAAGAATGACCAGTTTATAATACAAATAAGGAAAATCCAGCGGTGGAAACAGAGTAGAGGAATATATATGTATATTAAAAAATAATTTTAAAAATATATAAAAGGTCAGATATTTATATTAAAAATAAAAAGGACGTATCCTGGCCACACAGCAGTTTAGATGGCAAAGCGCCATCTAGTGGAACTAAAAAATAAACTAAACATTTATTTAGGTTTGTACCATAATATACAGATTTATATATATAGATGGAAATTTTGCCGGGAGGAAATTGGCGTCTGGTTTTAGACGTCTATTTTGACGGGAGAGGCGACTCTTGTCTCTTTAGATATATATATTCACACACAACCAACACTAGACTGATCATTCAATAAAATCATAAGCTAATAAAAACGGGGCTCTGGCACATTTGTAAGTGCAAAGTCGAACTGATTTTCACATGTGTAGACATGTGGTGCACTTACAGTAAAAGCAGTCGCTAACTACCCACCATGATTATCATGGCCTGTACCACGTGTACTAGGTATAAGAAAAATAAATAAATAAATAAAATAAGATATAAATGAACAGCAATATGAGTCGCTTAGCGACGTCCCTCTTAACGACAAGTCCACCTATAAGACGGAGCCAACTAGCGAAATTCTAGGTCGTTGTAAGCAGAAGACAGGGCAGAAGAGAGAGAAATCTTCAGTGAGGTCACCATCAGCTTTGTTCTCAACATCATTTGGTTTTTTATACAATTTTTTTTTTATCTTTTTTCACAATATGAGAGAAAGACAAACATATTGAAACCCTTTAAAATTCCTCAAACATTAATGAAGCGCCGTCCATTTGAGGAAAGTCTGTGAAACAAATTGAACTAAACCAATAATGGATTCTCAATTGAAAGCCAATTACCTAACTTCTTAGCACTAAACGTGGCGCTAAATTTTCCAACAAAATGTTTAATTTCAAAAAATAAATTGATGATTTTAAATAGGATCGTTTTAGCTTTCTTTTTTATCAGAGAGAAATAATTTGAGAGATTTTAGAAGGAATGGAATTTGTTGGGAAGAGATTGAAATGGATGGAAAATATATCGATTCTGTTGTTTCTCTCATTAGAAATGGTTTGAATTTCTAAAACTATTGTCTGGTCATGATATCTTATGATGCTCCAATATCTCCGTCTTTTATCGCCCTCTCTTTTTATCACCAGAAAATTCAAATTTAATCCTTAACTGGACGGGTGGATTTTTCTTACGTAAACTGGACGGGGTTGGGTAGATTCAACCCACTTATGTAACTTTATGAAATAAGCGCTAAATAATGATTGAAATCAATATTCAAAAAATATATATATATATATTTAATTAATATATAGTTAAAATACAGATTTTGACTTTTAAAAATTCTGAATATAATCTATTTAAAGTTTTCACAATTTTTTTAATTTACATATTGGATGCGTATATATTCATTTTAAAAAGATTATTTAGTTAAAAATGGGAAATTGGTGAAAAAACGGTAATAATTTGTTTAGATAAAATACTATACATTCCTATCTTTTGTTAAAGCTTATGCCCATAGTTTCCTTCTTTCTTCTTTCTTATCTCCACTCAATCATATTAGGGTATCAAGCTTGTAAAGTTGACAACCATCATGACTGGGTGAAGTAGAATGCGTCTGCCTTTGTCATTAAGACTGAGAGCACTACTCAGTGGCAGGCCGACTAATTGTGAAGAGTAAATGATAAACGGAAAAATAAAGTGTCCAGGGATGGGGCTTGTAAAATACTAAGCCAGCTTACATAAGTCTTATATAACTTCTGGGAATGTGTAGAGAGATTCCGGTAACCCTGAATAATATGTTTTACACTCATAGACAAAAGTTAAGGAAATTGTACCATTTAGCATGTATATATATTTCTTTTTTATTATTATATTTTATTAGATTTTTAAATTATTTTTTAAAGGGAGAACATTCGAACTTATATATACAGTTAAACCTGTCTATAGCGCCCCCTCTAAATAGCGTCTCCCTCTCTATAGCGCCCAATTTTAAATACGTAGTACGATGCGATTTACATTAAAAATGATCTGTCTATAGCACACCCTCTCTATAGCACCCTATTTTGGTGAGTTCCAAGAGAGGGCGACAGGTTTAACTGTATATGGGAAATCCGCCGTTATATATGCAAATAAGGATCGGTTTATGGGAGATTAGTGAGATGATATTGTGGCGAAGAGAAATTATTTTAATTATTCAATAAAAATTCAACAATTTGTGTATTTTGAAATCATCATACATGTTCCATAATTTGTTGTTCAAGAGGTATCTAGGACCACGACGGCCCGGCCTTGACGTTTAGTTAGCAGCTCATCATTATCCTGGTAGTTGGCGTTCTGCGCACCAGGAACCTGGATTATAAATATCTTTCTTATCTAGCGGTAGATGAGATGATGAGCGGTAGATAATTTAAGTTATCTACACCAATACCTCTCTTTGTGTCGTTTCGTTTTGCGTTTTTTTCGAAGTTGCGTCGCTGCTTAATTTTTACTGATTTTCACTGTGCGTCGTTAGATTTTCGAAGTTGCGTTGTTTTGGATTCGAGTC